ATTCTTGGTAATATTCTGATCTGTTGCTAAACTTATACATTCTTGGTAATATTCTGATCTGTTGCTAAACTTATATATTCTTGGTCATATTCTGATCTGTTGCTAAACTTATATATTCTTGGTCATATTCTGATCTGTTGCTAAACTTATATATTCTTGGTAATATTCTGATCTGTTGCTAAACTTATATATTCTTGGTAATATTCTGATCTGTTGCTAAGCTTATACGCAAAACCTCGACCATAAACTCTTATTTCGTTTATTATTATCATCATTAATTTTGTTTTTTTGGCGTAGAGGAAATGTCCTGTAAGAGTACCTAGTACAGCATAAATAACTCTAATTGTTTGTTTGTTAGATTATTTTTAGCGCAAAGTTACACATAAACTATCAGAATATTACCAAGGATGTATAAGTTTAGCAACAGATCAGAATATGACCAAGAATATATAAGTTTAGCAACAGATCAGAATATTACCAAGAATATATAAGTTTAGCAACAGATCAGAATATTACCAAGAATCTCATTTCTAATATTTTGTTCTTCAACCTCACATATTATTTTTTTATTGTTTTGAATCCCCTATTATAGAATTGATTGGTTAAAGCAACAACAAGAATCAAAACTTTAAAAAAAAAGTTGATGTAACTCTTTAATCAGCCAGAACTTCTCTTAGACCTAGATTTTCGCTTATTAATCCACAGGTATTTCCGTTTATAAAATGGTAGTTATACTGTAACTAATCTCTCAACTAACCTCAATATCGTTAGAAGCTACACCTATAGTTTGGTAGATATCAAAAAGGAACTCTTGAAATACGTTTAAACTTCAGCGTACCTTGTATAAATGATACGAGACAAAAAATCAGACGCATGATCTAGCATGCATATTAAATGAACAACTGAAGCCAACAGTCTCTGACTAGCTGATTAAAAACTTAGGCATTTCAGGTCTGATCACTTAACCCTTTCAAACAAAACTCCTAAAATCTCGCCATGTTAAACTATTGTCTTAAAGTGGATTTTGGTATTGACAAACGATAAGTTTAGAAGATCCATGTCACAACATTTATTCTACTTTTATTCTGTTTTTCTTAAACAATGTTTTCGATCCAAATGGTAAAAAATATTCTGATAAAACAACTATTATTATTATTGAAGTTACATATGTATGAATATATTTCCTTACGGTTTAGCAAATGATATGCAAGTATTATAACATTGTTTTCGACTGAAGTGTTTTTGAAACACATTATAGGTATAAAACAAAAATAATACAAATATATTTACAAAAGCTATAACCAGAAGCAGTTAAAATGTATCAATGCTACCACTGATACATTTAAGTCACTAACGAAACTGGAAAACCTTCATCTTGTATAGGGTGTTAATATTTTTGTGTTTTTTAATTAAGTCCAACTATATAGACTTCACTTGATTTCGAACTCGGGTTCTACACAAAAGAACACAGTCTCATTTAAGACAGGTTTTGAAAATAGTAAACATTTCTCTTTAAGAGTTATCAATGTTCTCAAGAGTTATTTTTGTTTGATTTTTGTAGATTAAATCCTCGACATGAGACCTGTAACCATTTTCATTTGTACAAGTCACTCAGCTTTGGGCTTATGATATTACTTAGATTTTTATAACATGCCAAACAAAAAATATTTCCTTTTTTCTGAGATATTCAATTAAAAAGTGTAATATAACGTAAGTCTTTGTAGAAATCGAGTTTCTAGTGATTGCGTCTTGTTTAAATATTTTAACCTTTGCCATTAATCACTTCTGGAAATAATGAAGTTCAGAACATACAAAGATTCGTTACTTTAGTGTCACTTTTGATATTGTATTTGTAAGTAGACGTCTTAAACACATCTCGTTAATTCAGTGAAAAAAATATATTTTATTTCAGAGCAGGCCTTATAGAAAGAATCCAAAACACTTTACATTTTGTACATAAAAGCTGTTGCTCGGATTACAAATAATTGCTAAAACAGACTAGGTGGCACCTAGCACTGCTTTCAAGTTTCTGGAATTTACCACCAGTAACCGTAGTTATAAGGGTGGGCATTCCAACCCCAGTTGTAGGCAACGGGCTTGACCTCAACGGGCTTGATCTTGGCGACCTCAACGTTAGCGGGGGTCTTCTCGGGAAGATCGCCAGAAGTGTGGATCTTAGCATTGAAACCCCGGGCATCAGCGACGTAATCAACAACACGGACAGTTCCGTCAGCATCCCTCAGACCGTAAGAACCAACCTTCACGTTTCCAATGCCACTTCCGACCTCCTTGCGGAAAGTTCCGCCGGTCACGTGACCCTCATTGTAGCCAAAGTTGTAATTACCAAGATTCTATTAAAAGACGAAAATGTATTGAATGAAAATGTGTCAACAGAACTAATATTAACACCAGACAAAGCAACAAATATGATATAAAAACAGAGTTTTTTGTTATCCAGAGAAAACGTTTCAAAGTAACTATTCTAGAACGTTGTAAGACTTACATCCTGGGCACGATGCTGAACGCTAGCACCCAGTCCGTGGTAGTAATATGGATGATAGAAGTAAGGGTTGTAGAGGACTCCAGCCTGGCTAGCAGCCACCAAAGCAAACAGGATCAGGAGCTGTAGATATTAGAGAAATACAAACTTGATTACACTTTGTAGAAAGTTTACAATTATTATCTAACCGAGATTAACAAAATTGTCGTTAGGAGTGACGTATATGAATTACCTATCTTATGTTATTTTTTACTGTTTAAACACCTTGTTGAGCAATATCTATCAACAGAGTTTCTTATATTTCCCATTGAGATGTGTGCGTGTATCTATTAGCAGTAAGTTTTAAAAAAGAGAGACTTACCTTCATGGTAGGTTGTCAGTAGAGATGTCCGTGTTTCTCTGAGGATGCACGTGTTTACCAAATGTTCAGTGCCCTTTATATAGGTGGACGAGCTGATGTAGAGCAGGTTCGTCCTTCTCATCAATGCCATCTTGAATACCAGAGAGCTGAAGACCTCGCCCAATCCGTCAGTCTTCCTGGTTTTTGTACAAGTAGGTGTTTCTGCAATCTGTGAAGGTCACGAGATAAACATTTTAAACGATTACTGATTTACACACGCCTACTTCAAAACAAGAAAATCCAAAAATTGATTTTTCTAATAATTTGAGTTCTCAGAATAAGCTGTGTAGGTATGATAATTAAAAGTATCACCCCTTTAAGATAATGTTGGTCGAAGTAATCTTGTTGGTTAAGTAAAATTCTAGCGAGTTGTGTGACACTTACATTTTCAGTACTGTTATTAGAGTTAACTTACTGCACATCTGCTTCCTAATTCACCTGTAGTATAAGTAAGAAAGTTTAATTATCAAAAGTTGAGCCAAATTTAGCGAGTATTTTGTAGCTTATTTCTTTCATCTAAAATTTATACTTAATTCTTAGTTCCACAGTATTTGTTAAACATTTATCACAAAACAAATGAGGTGTTGAACTTTTGGTTCGTTTAAGCATCTTATTTTTTTGCCTGTTTTTAAATCCATTTTACAGCGAATTAATAAGCTAATAACATAATGTATTAAACTGATGAAAAGCATCAACATAATTCATTTCTCTTTATTTAGATCACGTTGATTAAAATAAAAATTTAATATGAGATTATTACAAATTACTAAGTGTCGTCTCATTATTAAACTTTTAAAATATTACAATTATTATGCTGTATAATGTTAAAATTATTATAATTCTAAACATTGTAATTACTATGCTTTTTATTATTCTGATTTTATGTTATTAAAATGCTAATTTTTTTTTACCTTTATGCCGTTTACACAGATCTCATTGAGACAATATCTAGAATTTATTAATTTTCTCAAATCTATTATGTAAAGTGAATATGAGGAAAAAACAAACAAAAATTTAATAAATGTGGTATTGTTCACTTTTCTTAATCTTGAGAAACTTCTTTGTTTCACCAACTTAGCTATTCTGCCCTATATAAGTTAGAATTTAATTTCGTGGTGGGTCGGTGGTATATGTACGGACTTCTAACGCTTAACGATTTCCCGCGGTGGATGAAGTGCAGGCAACTTCTTATATAGACTTGTGTTAGAAAAGCAACAATAACTATATATATATGAATTTAATGACTTCATTATTGTAGAATCACAAAATGTTGGTTGATCAGTGGTTTAGGATCTGCTGCCTCTAAAAACGCCCAATATTGAACGTCTATGTAACAATCCGTGTATCATAGCTTAATCTTTCGTTATACTGAAATTACTGCGAACAAAATTCGTTAATTTTTATAAGATTTAAACAATGGTAAACAGGAAGTGAAAATACTACTCTAGTAAGCAGGGTGAACATAGGAATTGTTGTTTCAGTTCATCTGGTTCTAGCAGTTTTTCATATCATTCTTTAAAGTACGTGCAATAAATATTAATACTATAGTTTACTTAACACAAATAAATTATAATGATATATCGTAAAGTCATTTTCAATATTATTTATCAAAATTTAATCATCATATTTCCACTGAAACGGTTTAAAACAAATGCATTTCAACGTGTACTTAAAGAACTATGAGCCACTAAGTATGTGGGATATATAGTTATAAAGGGGATTCCAGGGTTAAACTATTGGTTGCTTTCACATGAATGATATTTTAGACTGTTTATTAAGTATTAAAATATTACAATATACTATATTTCAAGCGACAAAATAAGTCTTTGGTAATTTACAGTTTTATTTTGCTTATAATCCGTTTTGGTATTAACACTAAGTCTTTCGATACACAAAAGCTTGAGTTACTACTGTCTTAGGCTTTGGCTATAAACTTTATTAAAGACAACTCTGACAAACCTACAGTTTAAGTTTTTGGCGGTTGACGCTCGTTCTGCAACCAAAACGTCCATTATCGTACAAAATAACCTGTTGCACGTCAAATGATATAGAATATCCAATAATATGTAAGCATTTCAGGAGGTTTTGACGTCATCTCATTTAACAAATTAGTTGTAAAACCATAAAGAAAAATGTCTGGTTCTATGTCAGAACGAATGATCAGATTGAATTAGATTAAGTCAGAACGAATGATCAGATTGAATTAGATTAAGTCAGAACTGATGATCGGATTGAATTAGATGAAGTCAAAACGGATGGTCAGATTGAATTAGATTAAGTCGATACACATTCAAATATGCAAATCTCTTTAATTTCAACTTCGGTTTCATTATAAAATATCCCAGAATATATATATACTAGAGTTACTAGTTAATCAATACCAATAGAAACTTTGTTTTATACTTGATTTACTTTAATATATTTATCGCGTCGTAAAATCTAACAGACTTTCCTCTTTTTAAGTTCTTTGTTGTTCTTGCTCTTGTTAATGTTACCCGCCACTATTGGCTTGTTTTTTACGGCTTTGACGTCAGCACCAGTAGAGAAGATAAGTGTGTCGTCACACCAGTGCCCAAGCTAACCAAACCTATCTTACATATAGAAGTATTATTAGTACACATACAACACTCTGTTCAATTATTAATATCAATTTTTTTTAGAACTGAGACTTAAGGCTTGTACATTTCGAGCTACAGAAAAGTTTGACACATGAGAACTTTTCACTAAAATTATTTCATCGTGGTAGTTTTTAACCAATATTCATTTAGTTGAGTGTTCAGTTTTATTCATCGGCATGCATGTTTATTTTTATTCGTGACTTCTTTCAACCAGGGCAACTACAGAGCATTGGTAACTACAACTTTGGTTACGATGAGGGTCACGTGAAAGGAAGCCGGAAGTGGCTTTGGTAACGTGAAAGTTGATTCTTACGGTCTAAAGGATGCTGACGGAACTGTCCGTGTTATTGATTACGTCGCTGATACTAATGGTTTCAAAGCTAAGATCCGTACCTCTGGTGATGTTCTAAAGAATACCCCTCTATCGTTTTGAGGTCTTCAAGGTCGAGCCTGTTGAGGTGAGGTTCGCTGTCCACTAAGCTGCTCCTCACTACAATTACAACAATTACATCCTG